GTTGACTGTTTCAATGGATGTAGCATAAAAATCTTTTACTGACCTAATGCAATACATATACACTTTGTAGTTAAAGAATTTTAAAGTTCTTACTGTCATTATGGCAGCTACATCCTTTAGCTTTGTGCCCTGTTCCCCCGATCACTTTGCAAACACTTTCAGCAGACTGTCAGAGAGAAACTCAGCTCCGTCAGAAACCTTGACTGTAAAGGCATGGTTGGGATGCACTGGAATGCTGCATTTTATCTGAAATGACATAAAATTATTTTGAAATAACAGCAGGCACTGTGCTTGGTTAATCAGTAATGTTTTGTTGAATAAAAACTGTGTTTCCAGATCTTATGGGATTAAAAAAAATCCAAAGATGTTTGTTTCTGATTTGCAACCCAACAACCCACAAGTTACAACCTCATTTCAGTTCAAGTGTGCATTAATGCGAGTCCAGTAATCACCTTTCTGGCAATACATACAGGTATAAGTTAAACCTATGGCAGATTTTGGATCTCTCAGTTGTATTAATAGGGTGAGTATGCATGCACCTAATAATTATAAAAAACCTATTATAATTAAGTTACAGAAACGAAAATAGAATATACTTTCTTACCATAACACCTTGAACCCACAATCCATCAGCTGACTCCTGGTGAAATGCAGAATAGAGGTCATCTCTCAATGTGCAGCAAAAAAAAACAAAAACAAAAGGACAGCAGGTGAGGGCAGGAGGGGTAGGGATGTAAGCTAGCATAATGCCGCCGATGATATTAGCTAAAGCTGTTCAATGTCCAAAATCTCACTAACACCACGGTGCAGTAAATACACAATGTAACTGAAGAGTCAGTTAAAAAATCTATTCACACAGAAAACCAAATTATGTTATGAGTGCCTCGTAATTAGGTTTAATGTGATATTACGGCTCTTGTGCCAAAGACAAATTCAAATGAAAAAGCGCCAATTCTTTGACAACAGATAAAACAGCAAATAAGCTAACGGCTCTTTTTTAGCATGTTACATGGCGACACTCTAGACGTTTAACTACATTTGGCTGAAGTATGGTAAAAATGAATTCAAAAAATCAAGACATACCAAAAACGTAGAGTTGGCTGCTCGACTTGACTGAGATGGATGCCTTTTTTAAACCACGATCCAAAGCCCGCGAGATGAAATCACGCGTGGTTTCACGAGATTTAACGTTGCTATCTTATTGACTTACGTCACCTGAACATGATATGAACAATTTAATACACCCTTTCTGCATATCATGTAGTTTTTACACTATATAGTTACATTTAATTTAAAACATGAGGCAATTGTGTTAAATGCATGCAAGATGCTTACATAAATCCAAGAGATGGCCAGTCCCTTTTTTTCAGTGCAGTGAAGGAATATGTCATTTTTCCAGGTCTTGGCAATCAGGAACAAAAACAATAACACATCAGCTTCCAGTTTGGATCCAGGGGACAGACACTATCTCTACTTTTAAGATTTAAACTTTCCTTCTTGTTAAAGCATATATATAGGGCTGGATCAGGTGACCCGCCTTAATAATGCTGCAATATGCCTGCAAAACCTGTTCCACTCATTGCGTATTTATACACCACTCTGTATTTAAACAAGAGTTATTATGAACCTCTGGCAATGACGCCTTGTGGAAGAGAACCAGTCTTCCTCCCCTCACAGCCCTACAGCAGCAACTGGAGGTTTCTTTCTTTGTCGCTAAGTACCTCCTCAGAGGGGGACATTTAATTGTTGGCTTTTCTCTGTATTATTGTAGGGTGTACCCACATGACACAGTCCCTTTCTTAATATACACACGGATTGTGATTGGACAGTGAACAATGCTCTGTGCTGTACACATGATGCAGGTTATCTGAGATGTTTCAGGTTTATATAACGGAAGGATTCATAATAATGCAGCTGTATAAATTCTGCACTATATGATGATACTGAAGAGATTTACTGCTGCTGATTTCATATTTTCATGTAACTTCTTTCAGTGAAATGAAGTCTACCATGTTCTATGTTGTCATCTCTTTTCCATTTTCTTTTTCTGGGTGTTATTGTATATGGTGAATAGTTCTGGTTCTTATAGAGCGCATTCCTGCTCAATCAAACCGCTGTACACAACAATGCAACGGATGCACCGGAGAGCAACATGGGGTTAATATCGCGGGTATTTGGCATGTAGACTGGAGCAGACTGGGATTGAACCACTACCCTTCCAGTTAGTAGGTGACCCGCCCTATCTACGTGAGGCATCCCGGGGTTAAGTGAAGTGCTAGTTATTTTTAAAAATTCCCACCAGGCTGACAGAGAGGTGCTTATGTTGAGGCTTTTAAAGCAGTCATAGTACTTAACACTGGTGGAAGATTCCAGAGAGCGCTTGTTCTACGTCCAGCCAAGTCTAACAAGTTTGGGTGAATCTATTTTCAAACATGCAGCAATCTGTTGGATAAGAAGCAGTGATATAATGCGATAGTTCCAGACCATCATTGTATTTTTATTTTTAGACTTATTTCCCCCCAAATTTCTAAATGTTGTTGTAGTGATTTAAACCAAGTAACACAGCCTTTGTTAGGGAGCCGTGAAAACCTGTCATTTATTTTCGTCAGAATCATTTTAACGGTGCCGACTCGTCCCGTGAGTCCAGTCTCGCTCTGTACTTGTTTGTCACTGCGTCCTTTACTTCCTTCATATATGTTACAATGTTTCAGTTTTCCTTTCCTCTGCTCCCTCATTGCTCCATCCTCCTTCATGTGAAGGCCTGCATGGAGTCTTCTTCCTGTTACCCCCAAACTGAGAATATTATTCTCCCTCACTCACACACCCACTGGAGATACTGAAAACACCACGCACTACTACCTTGGTGAAACGGTGCTTCCAGCCACCCTGCCTGTCTTCCACCTTTCTGTTTCTCCCTCCCCCGATGAATTAGATGCTTCCTGTGTTTCCTGTTCTTCCTCCCTCTAACTCTTTCACCTTCTGGTAGCTATCTGAGAGGTCACAAAGCCACGGCTCAATGAGGGGGAAGTGTATTGACAGGATGCTAATAGATCATGATAAAAATGTCTCTCTTTGTAGCACATGAACTCTAGCCTCAGGCCCCTCACATCTGAGGACAGCAGACTGTTTTTTTCGTTTCAAAGGAAATGGAGCTTCAAATGCTCCTGGTGTATGGCTGACAAGAGGAATATATATAGGATTTAGTGGTTTGGATGCTAGTCTTTGTGTCTTTCCTGCCGCGAATCCTGGTTTGATGACTTCGCTGGATCACAGAGTGGCCATGTCGCCTCAGGCTGGAGCACCATTGACATCTCTACAACAGATTCTTCAGTGGCTTCACTGGTTCAGGGATAAAAGCCTTAGGGTGCCAATTTACAGGACCTGTCTGTCTCTGAAGAGAAGTACTGAAGTCAAGAACTGGATGGCGCTCTCTTCTTTATCTTGAAAGCAAAGTAAGGCGCTTTGCTTTCAACATCTGAAGGCTACAATTGCCATATATGACTCTTTTAAATTCAAAGGGCATAGACCATTACAGCCTGCCTTTGAAAAGAGCAAGCCCTGCTGCATATTAAATATGTCTCCTGTCATTAGAAGTGTTACTGACATCGTGTTTTTGTACTTTACAAAACAAATACTTCATAATTCTGACACAAAAGACTGCAGAGAACAAATGCAGATATGTCATTGTACAGTTGTACTCATAAAGCTCCTTGAAACACTTTATGGTTAAGATTCAGGCGACTGTTGTGAGTTTGTGCTGTAGAACTTACAGTGAAATGAAATTAAACTAAAAATCAAATTAATGAAATATTAACAGTCAAGTCAAGACTTGTCTTCACTGTTCAGTTGGTGGGAGGGGGGAGTTTAATTTCTTAGTCTATCATTACATGGAGAGAGTTTCTCATTGGATGAATTGTGGAAAACTCTTTTTTATTATATGTATTTATTTTTTGCTTCAAGAGAAACTGAACACATGCTCTTAACTGGAAGAACTACGACTAAACTGCAATTATTTGAGCAAAGTGCTTGGAAGTAAGGCAAAGACAAAAGACTTGGTCTGAATAGAGCCCTGAGTGATGCGGGTTACTCACAGCATGGCTCAGATTTGTGAGGTGGCTGGGGGGGGCATAGTGTTTGTTAACAGTCCGAATGTCTCAGGGGACAGAAGCTGTTAGTGAGTCTGGAGGTGTGGGACCTGACTGATCCGAGGCGCCGACCTGAGGGCAGCAGGTCCAACAATTAGTGGGCGGGGTTGAAGGGGCACCTGTGATGGCTCTGGTTTTCCTGCGATGGAAGGAGCTAGCGACGGACTCCAGAGGTCCTTTCTTATTTTTCCTTCTTAAAGTGTCATTTCATGTCCGTCACTTATCCTGTTTTAACAACAGGATGTATGTCAATGTCAGTTTGACCTGAGTTATGTGCTCATCACCCCGCAGCAAATACAGATTGATCTCCAACACGTCCACTCTCTCTTCTCTGCAAATGTTCAAACCTCAGCCTTATCTCTGACTTTTGTCTCCAGACTGCTCGATCTGATTTGTAATGCAGTGCATCCTCATCATTCCCACTGAAAAGCTTGATATCTTCAGCTCTGTCACTTCCAGCTCGGCATATTTTCTTTATGTTAGCACCACTATCTCTAAACCATACATCATAGGAGTCTCACTACTATCTTGTAAACCTTCTCTTTGACTCTTGCTGCCATCCTGTCACAAATTACCCGCGACATTCATCTCCATCCACTCCTTCCTGCCCCAGCTCTCTTCTTCACCTCTCTTGTGCACTGTCTGTTTTGGATGGTTGACCCCACATACCTAGCTTCATCCACCCTCTCTACACATGGTAAGTATCTTCAAACTGTGGTCAGTCTGTATGACGAATAGATGTTTAGCCACTGTTATGACTCAGCTCTGCTAGATGACAGGGGAGGTAACATAAATGAGCCCAAAGACAGGAGGGTCAAATCTTCTGTGAGCCCTGGCTCGCTTGAATTTCCACACAGGTAGGTGGGCCCACTTCCTCCGAGGCCGGGGGCCGTAACACCACCTCCAGAGCGCTGACAACCATGATGAACTGACCGGTAAAGTCAGGCTGAGACAGAATGGGTCCAGAAGTAAAGCTTTGTCTCAGGGGGTCAAAGTTAGACAGCGCTGAGGAATTCCACTGGACGGAGACCCTTGGAGGGGTTAGTTGGCTTAATGGTAGTGCAATCTTACAGAAGTCTCAGATAACCTTATGAATTAAAATGAAACACTGGAGTTATGTTTGTGCTTAGGAGGTACTGGCCAGTCAATTACTGGACATTTGCCGGGTCTATAATATAGCCAAGGGAGGAAACTGTTTCAATGTGAACTCACATTAGACGAAGCGTTTGTACTCAAACAAACACTGCAGAACTTGCCTTAACATGAGGTCCATGTTCTTGGGGGGACCAGGAGAAAATCAGGATGTCAACCTGATGAACAAACGATTCATGAAGTGCTGGAGGATGTTGTTAATCAGAGCCTGGAAAACAACGGGAACATTAGTCAATGCAAATGGCATTACCAGATACTTGAACTGATCAAGGTGAAGGCCATCTACCCCTCCCTCAGTACCCTTCCTTAATCCTCACCAGATGATATGCATTACACTTGGCTGAACATAGTGGCCGCCTTTAACAACCTGAGGACAAAAAAAGCAGCAGGTATTTATTTTTGTGTAACCCATGGAAGTCAATGCATGGTCTCGAGTTTTGTCTGTTTTCTCTACAAAGAGGAATCCAAGAGGAGAGGAAGAGGGCCAAATGATGTATTTTTTCATACTCTCCTGCTCTGGTTTAGATAAACTGTACAGCTGGCTAGTGGGTAAGATTGCACCAGGAAGAAGAGGTTGCACACAGTCATATACTCTATGTGGAGGAAGAGAGCAGTGCGTCATTATGGAACATTTCAGCTAAATCTGACACGCCGGGTCTGCAGGGTCTGCAGGGTCTGGAGGAGAGGACGGAGAATCAAAGGTGAGAGACAGACTGGCAAATCCTGTTGTAAATGTAAATTCTATTCCTTGGAGGAAGGACATCCAAACATCCAACAACACAACATTCACTTAAACCCAAGGCAGGCTCACTAAACTCCAGGGAGGGGAATCCAGGGGACGTCTGCAGAGGGAAAGAGCTGGGGCTACACTAATTGTGTACTTCGATGATCCATAAAGAATGACTGCCAGCTATGATCGTAAGTATCGGCAGTGATGAGATAATCAACGACAAAAAGGCGATTACCTCAGGTGTGTCAAACCAGAGGTGGGAACCTAAGACGAGTCCATGCACAAGCACACAGACAGAAGAGAAGAGAAAGGAAACAAAGGCAGAGAGGCAGAAGCCAAACTTGGTGATATCAGCTGAAGAGGACTGAGGGAAATCAAAAGAGCAATAGATCGCGTAGCTTCATGGTACGGCTCATCAGGTTCATGCTTGCGTAGTTAGAACGGTTCTGCACGCCACCCTTGCTCTTGAAAATACAACAGTACACAAATTTTCAATTCCTGTTGATCTTAAAATGGTTTCAAAATGGTCAAAGTTCACTGGCCTAGACATTGCCATGCTTTCACAGGCATGTCATCTGGACCAGCTCCATTCTTCATCATCTTCATGGCTGCTCTTACATCATTCTCACTAATCTTCTGCACTTCCTGATTAACTAGCTATCCTGTATCTGTTCTCCCCTCTCTTATTTTTCCCATTCATCAGCTCATCAAAATAATCCTTTGATCTTTTTCTAACACTCAGTTCACATTTTAGTGCTTTTGCATCCTTAACCCTTTAAGACCTACCATAGAACCAAGCCCGCCACAGCTTTATATGTTTACATGCTGTGGAGCCATTTTTGGGAGCATTTCAAGTTGCAATACATCAATACAACTGTTATAGCCCATATTTTAATAATATGTCTGCATTAAGTCCATAGTAACTACATTAATTGCAAAAAAAGTGCAATAAACTACAAAAAAATTGAAAATCGTTTTTGTTTTTTTTAAACATATATTTCTATTTGGAGAAATTTAAGAGGCTTATCCCTCAAAACTTTAAATACAAAGAAGTTGCAAAAAATAGTTTACAACAACAGGAAATTTATTTTGAGTCTCTTCATAGTTTTATTTTTGAGATACAGCAATTTTTATATACTGCAGGAAAAACAAAAAACAATCCTATGATGCACATTTGCAAAGAAAACAGCAGGTGCATCAAAATAAACTATTTCCAGCAGTGCAATTTGAGTTCTAAGCATCCCAGCAACTATTCAGAAAAGTCAAACATGACTTACAAAAACACCAGTATAGGCTTTTAATGCCTACAAATAAAAAACTACATTTTCTGCGAAAAATGACGTCACTTCCGGTTTCGGGCAGGAAATGGTGGACATGCGATCGTTCGCGCTGACGTCAGTTTCAATGTGGGAAGTGTTATGAACAGCTGATCGGATCGGCAAAGCCTGTTTCTGGACTATTATGTTTTTGTTCCTGCAAGCGCTTTTTATGCAGTTTTTGCAAAGCTATATGTGGAAGGAAACCGTGACCGAGGACAAGCTGATGGCATAAGATGTAAGTACAACATATGCAAAAAAAATTATTGCACTAGCTTACGTGGTTGCAGTGCTACCTGGATTTAAAAATAGTTACACAAAACGGAGCGTGCCCGCTCCGACCGGCTTTAAAGGGTTAATCACTCTAACCTGCTGCACATCCTTTCCAGCCAGTCAATCAAAAATATTGCAAACAGTGGACCTAAAATCAGTGTTAGAAAAGGTTTTCTGTTGCTTAGGTCTTGCAGTTGTGATGGTCAGGATCCTTTAATTATCCACAACCACGGTCGTTTGGCTGATGGGGAAATTCAAATAGTGTGACGAACCAACTAAACAATCAACAACAGCAGCAATACTTCCCTCAGTGAGTAATATGGATGTATGTTTACAGCTCCCAGTTAAATACTCAGGCTACAAAACCACCACGTCATCGGAGCACATCTGGCATCATACCACTCATCACAGCTAGTGCAATGTCTTCTTACTACATATATTAAGGTCTCATTTGTTCCCACCAAGACAACATTTTGAGATGAGCTGATTCTGTGGAGGCAGGAGGGAACTTTTCTCAGATTTACAGATAACTTTGGAGATTTGGAGAACCTCAGAACTTCAAATGATAAAAATAACATTATTGGTGTAAGCAGAATCAACATATTGCAGCTAAAGCCTTTCTCCCACACTCCCAGGGTTCGTTTCAGTGGTGGCCGTGTGGCTAACAGAGTCACAAATCCTCCCAGATCCCCCATCTGAATTCACAATTCATTTTCCTCTGTTCCCCACTGAGCAACAGGGCTTGCTTCATTGTCTGCATCCACCCATCTAGCCATCCCCATCTGCCCAGGCAGAAGCAGTAGGAGTAGTAGCACTAGTGCCACAAGTGGCCTCCATCTCACCTGTCACAATTGAAAGCTCCACACTGCTGGTGAAATGCCAGTGAACCCAATCATGCAGGAAAACACAAAAACACAAAGTAATTATGCTCGAGAGCTTCAGTTGAAGGTAATTAAACAGCAGATTTTCTCTGCAACAGATCTACAGCCTGGATCCCCTGCAGCTGTGACTCACACATGCAGCACTCTATATCCATGACTTCTGAGGTCATCACATACACATGAATTCATTTGCTGGAGACATATTCTTATCATACACATAACTTCTGTTTTACACTTGCCTTAGCCTAAACCTGTGTGTGCGCAGTAAAATAAAATGATGCATTTATGTAACATTTGTCCCCATAATGTAACTGCATAAAGAAATTCAGGCAACCATACCATGTGTTACACTAAAATTAGCAACAAAGATAACAAATGAGGTAAAAATTAAATATAGATCTGCTGCATGTAGTTCATACAATGCATTTTTCTCAAAGCAAAACTAGATATGCCTATTAGATGTAAGAGAATATGTAACATTTCTTACAGAAAATGTCTTACAGCCCAACCCACCCCTGCTAGCAGTTGTCCAGGTAGTTGCATTAAAATAGCAGGGAGAATCCCTTTGTGAGGGACTGTGGTTTGTGGCTCAACCTCAGGGAGCTGTGCATTCAAGGTTTGGTGTCAGGGGAGGCTGACCCACACAGTTCTTCACCTGGTCATGCCTTCCCTATTTCAGTAGGTTGCCTGGACCTGATGGGGGTGTTGTGCGTGGTGCAGAGTAAAGCATCTGGAAAGCTCCTCCCACAAATGCATGGTCCATTTGGGTGGGCAAAAGGACTTGAAAGTACCACATGAATACCAGTTCATTCCATTTGGCGTTTTAAAGATATTAGGGTGCAAAACTGCAGATGATGCAGACTGTGGGGAGTGTGACAAACAGAAAGCAGGCAGAATTCAGCAGAAGGCATTTTATTAGGCTGCTGCAAGGAAGTCCGTAAGATAAGACGTATGTCCAAGGGAGAAAAAAAATGCAAAGTCCAAAAGGAAGCAACAAACTAAAGGAGCAAGGAAACAAGGAGACACCCTGAGGCAACAGATGATCTGACTAAGGAGAAGCAGCAAAGGAGATTCTGTTCCTGGAACTCCTTCATGGACTTTCCTCTCCAAATGACCTTGTAAATAGAGACTATTGGATTTTGTTCCATTGTCAAGAGTTTGTAAAAGTTCCTTTTCACAAACACTGTAAATAAGGTCCCACATTTTGAGTCTGGCTTGCCTCATTGGTTACGACAGTGTCAGTATATTAACCCTCTAAAGTCTAACCTGTCACTGGCGTCAGAGAGGGGTTTGTCAGCGTTTTCTAAGCATCTGTATCTTTTTGCTGTTTGTTGTTTTCTGTGTTATTTGCAGAGATTTGGATGTGGCGCCCTGCCTGGCATTACGGTAATGAACCTAATATCACTGAAAAGAACAGAGCTGCATCGGAATTTTTTGATTGTGCCAATGGATCGGGAGTAACTGCAGTGTGACCCATGACTGCCATCGCATTTACTGGGTTAAAGTGAGGCTGAGCAGCTTGGAGACGAAGTTAGAGAAGCCAGGTTCAGATGGTTCGGGCGTAAGCAGA